GCACCCATGGTACCACTATACTCACGTACATTACCTTCTTTGCCTCCATGATGACTTTCTTTTGTACAAGCATATATATACATACCAATCTGGGTTTTCTTCTATTTTCTATAATAGTTCTTATTCATCTTTATTTCCTTTTATCTCCACGGGAAGTAGAAACGAATTCTTCCTCCTTAACCCTTAAACGGTCCAAACAGATCGACGTTCAAATTCGTATTGCTACAAAAGTAGATCTACTTTTTTTTTACATATTTTTCAAATATAACAAAAAAAAATGTACATAAAAGTTTTTTTTACACGTTTTCAAATGTAAAACAAAAAAGAATATCGACATTTTTTTTACATACTTTCAGATGTTGAAAAAATGTATATATAACGTTTGGACCATTTAAGGGTAAGCCATGTGTGTCGTAAGAGGTGACTAAAATGTCAGGAGCAAGGGGCTAGTAACCCGTTCTCCTGTATAAAATACTAAATTTAAAAAGAATTTTTTCTTTAGGTTACTCTGCCTCGGTGGGTGATGGCCACCGAGTTAAAAAAAAAATAAAAAAGTTATTTGAAGGAAAAATCCTTTAACTATTTTACAAACAAATATAGAGCAAAACAGCTTTTCATATACAGTATATAAAAAAGTGATCCAGAACAAAAAGAATATATACAATAATAAAATATTTTGCAATACTGTATAATATTCCAAAGTTGCATCAACCTAAAGAGGGTGAAAATGACAATCTTCAACTAAGTGGCAAAGTACTAACATTTATGTAGTGTTAATTCATCCTGTACCAAAATCACTAATAATGATGCCAAAAAGAATGATCTTATACTACAAAACAGAATAATACACTAAATTAGCAAGCACTATACAACCATTTGCTGAACAAAAAAAAAAAAAAAAAGCAATAATACTGTATTTGTAATAAAACAAAATCTATGCTATATAAGTGGTGGCAAAACATTTCTTGCACAAACTACATGAATAATGAAACTTGCTTAACCAGTTCTAATATAAAAAAAAATTTCAACCATTGTACAAGTAGAAAAAGTAAATTTAGGTAAAATATTTAACCACATTCTTTTATACAGTACATCCTATTAAAGCTATCTAATGCACATCTCAAAACTTTACTGAAATTTATCTTGAGTTTGACTAATCTTCAGTAAATTTTTGTACACAGTACTTCAACCCTTTCAGGGTCCGTCCGAAAATCTATGGCTTTGAGCCTGGGTCCAATCTGTAGATGTACGCCATGAGCTCAGCTCACTCAGATAACCTGTGAGCGGTAAATTTGGGTCTAGACATGAGAGAACACATCTATGTGGTAAGTGTGCACCACATAAAACAAATCCTGCAGCACACAGTGCATAATGAGAGAAAAACTGCGACCGTAATTTTGAATTAAAATAGCGATTTTGCGGAGTTTTTGCGTATGTTGTTTACAGTTGTATTTGCGATTTTTTGATCTCCTTTGATAGAATGGAATATATATTACAAAAACAGAGATGATTTTGATTGGCTTTAGTACTGAAAATGGCTTGAAAATGAGTTAAAAGTAGCAGAAATGTTCGATTTTTGCCGATGTTTCAAGAGTAAACCAAGTTTGTTACAAGTCTAATATGCGTCAGCTGGTGGTCTAATAAACATTCACGAATGTGCTGATATTATCTATACAATTATTACAACATGTATAACAGTAAATCTATTTTTTGGTGTGAATAAAAATTCATTATGTGAATAAAAAATCAAAATGGAATTCATTTGTAAAGCCTGAAAAACATAACTAATGAACAGAGGAAATGTTGGTTAAGTGGCAGGAATGCCTGCATTGTTTATTCTGGATCTATTTTGAAGTTGGAATATTTTGAACTTTGAGTTAAATTGGCCAAATTACCAATATCCAATCACTTTATTTGGGTAGTTGAAACAGTTGACTGGGCAATTTCTTGTGCTCAGTTGATAAAATAGAGTAATACTAGTGAAATAGCTAAGAATTTGTAGACGGAAGAATGTAATTGGCCTAAAATGGGAGCCAAAGTGGCAAAATCGCCAATGCATAAATAGCGCTGAAGCATCAAAATTTGCAAGAGCAAATTTCGTCAATTTTCCATCAAATGTCATACTTTTTGGCTTCATTACCTTCAGAAAAAGTTTCATTACCATTTTCATAACAAAAAATAACAAAATTTTTTTTTTGAAAATTCTTGGACCCTGGCTATCACTCTGAGATTTGGCCTATGGACCCTGAAAGGGTTAATATATAGTACAGTGGAACCTCAAATTTCGAATGTATCGCTCATAGAACTCTTTGAAAATCGACCGCTTTTCTCGAACCTACTTATGTCCCTATTATCGAACTTCCCCTATTATTCAAACTGCCGGGTACCAGACCTGTCCACCAGCCCCGCTTTGTCCGTGTCTCCTCGCAGGCGCCGTGAGCCAGTCTGGCTTTGTTGATGCTTGAGTGAACACTAACCTGTGCTCTCATTCAAACATTTTACGATTAATCATTGTGTTTAGTGCTTGTGGGACTGTGAAATAAGCTACCATGGGCCCAAAGAACTTGCTAGTGGTACCCCTGTGGTAAAAGAAAGTGAGAAACAACCATAGATGTGAAGAAGGAAATAATACAGAAGTATGAGAAGGTGAGAGACTTGTTAAGCTTGCCAGGATGTATGGGGAAAAACAAGTCACTATTGTTCTATCCG